TAATAATAGGATAAGTGTTGAAACAGATGCAGGCACCTCAGAAGAATAGAAGGAAGAGGGTGATGCTGAGAAGAGTTATCTGTAATAGGGACAACGTGTAGCGATGTTCCTAATGAACATAAAAGAATTGCTGGAGGAGACTGAATCCTCTGTATCACTCATTATCTGGAGTATACCTGGAGGGTTTTCTGAGGTTCAACGCCCCCGCTGCCCGGTCCAAGACCAGGCCTCGCGGTGGATCAGGGCCTGATCAACCAGGCTGTTATTGCTGGCCGCACGCAGCCCGGCTGGTCAGGTACCGACTTTAGGTGTCTGTCCAGCTCCCTCATTGCTGGTGAAATGAGAATAATGAGAAGCATATTTACTGTAGACGACTGACAGAGACTACAACACGGCAGTCTGCAAATATAGTCAGTAAGATTTCTGCACTAACTCAATTTGTTTAAATTAAAAGTAATGAGAATATGGAAGGGACAGTGTAACCAGAAAATGGAATACACTTAGGAAGGAATGGCCTGACATAATTTGCATAAACAGAAATATAGAGGAGTATGCATCATATATAATATTACTGAAGCTGGATATTCTCGGTTCTTAGTGTGGTGCAAAAAGCGAAGCTAGCAAAGCTAAACATTGTCTCACGGAACCTTAACTAGAAATTAATTTATGCTTTACATAGATCATACGTCAGGCTCATCATGAAGCATACAGCCCTGTCGCAGATGTTACTTATGATAATACATGTGTAAAAGCTAGAGTGTGGTATAAACCTTGGTAATAAATTCCGACAAGTTGGTTTAGAAAAACACGTAAACAAACACTAGGTTTCAGGTCTCAGGACAGAGACGTTTTCTAATAAATATGTCCTAGTGTTTGCTTACGTGTTTTCCTGAACCAAGCAAGAGTGTAAAAGTTCGCAACACAATCAATACCAGAACTGAGGTTGTTTGATTATGTGGAGAGATTTAAAGAGTTAACGCAAACAATAAAAGAAAGAAGGACCAGGAGGAATATAATCACATAATCATGACATACAAGATACTTAAGGGATTAGAGAGGATAACGACAGGTTGTCTGTGATGCGAGGAGCCTGGGGTGCCAGGAGAGTCTGGGGAGCCAGGAGAGCCTGGGGAGCCAGGAGAGCCTGGGGAGCCAGGAGAGCCTGGGGAGCCAGAAGAGCCTGGGGAGCCAGGAGAGCCTGGAGAGCCAGGAGAGCCTGGAGACAGAGAGCTGGGGAGCCAGGAGAGCCTATGGAGCCAGGAGAGCCTGGGGAGCCAGGAGAGCCTGGGGAGCCAGGAGAGCCTGGAGAGCCAGGAGAGCCTGGGGAGCCAGGAGAGCCTGGGGAGCCAAGAGAGCCTGGGGAGCCAGGAGAGCCTATGGAGCCAGGAGAGCCTGGGGAGCCAGGAGAGCCTGGGGAGCCAGGAGAGCCTGGGGAGCCAGGAGAGCCTGGGGAGCCAAGAGAGCCTGGGGAGCCAGGAGAGCCTATGGAGCCAGGAGAGCCTGGGGAGCCAGGAGAGCCTGGGGAGCCAGGAGAGCCTATGGAGCCAGGAGAGCCTGGGGAGCCAGGAGAGCCTGGGGAGCCAGGAGAGCCTGGAGAGCCAGGAGAGCCTGGGGAGCCAGGAGAGCCTGGGGAGCCAAGAGAGCCTGGGGAGCCAGGAGAGCCTATGGAGCCAGGAGAGCCTGGGGAGCCAGGAGAGCCTGGGGAGCCAGGAGAGCCTGGGGAGCCAGGAGAGCCTGGGGAGCCAAGAGAGCCTGGGGAGCCAAGAGAGCCTGGGGAGCCAATGAAGTCAAAGGAGTCAGGGAAGCCAGGAGAGTCAGGGAAGCCAGGGGAGTCAGGGAAGCAAAGGAAGTCAGGGGAAACTGACGGCGGCTAAAGACACACATGAGCCTCCAGAAAATTAGGAAAACCTTTTCCAGTTTTGGGTTGGAACTTGGTAGGCAATTGCCAGGAGAATGATAAGAGTTGGAGGAGAGTTAGACCATACAGAGTATTAACAATAAGTATAATCGGTACTAGATCAGAAATCAATAAAATGGGTCGTTAGCAGTCAAGACAAGGGGCCAAAAATTGCCCCTTGACCCATGCAAACAGATGAATACTGCAACACAATCCAACACAAGTAGAGATAGGTGAGTTTTACAAGGACAAACAATGAGATATAAAACAAATAAAATAATGGAGAGTGTCTACAACTGTCTGTGCCGAAGAAATATTAATGAGTAAAATCAGAACTCAGGAAGCAACAAATCAATGTTTCTATCCGCTGAATCTAGTTTTTTTTATTATTAGTGAACCTCTATTACATGTGTGAGTGTATACTCGTGGTATTATATCTCGCCCTGGTTCTCTGGTCATGAGAATTCGCTCCGGTGAGCTCGGGGACAATGATAGAAGATGGGGGTTGAAATTAACATGGGAGGAAAGTGGCTGTATTATTGTGTTAGAGGACGCACCAGTGGTCGCTGTGATGTATAGATGAGTCAGCTCGATGGCGAGGCAGTTGGATGGTGAGTCAGATCAAGTTGACACTCAGTCTAAACCAGTGCTTCTCAGAGCACTGCTGTGGTGGAGGCGTGCCGTGGTGGAGGCATACTGTGGTGGAGGCATGCTGTGGTGGAGGCATGCTGTGGTGGAGGCATGCTGTACAGTTAGTTATGCTGTGTATACTGCTACCACTGGACACTGGCGTTACCTTGCAACCGTTCATCCATCCTTCCCGTGCAGAATATTCTAATCCCTTAAATAATTAATAATATTGATTTATTGACTAATATTACAAATGCATTTTTTTACACAGGGTTTGACAAGGTTAAGGATCCCTAGCTTTATTGACAGCTATTTACAGGTTAAGGATTCCTAACTTTATTGACAAGCTAAGAGCTGTTACCTACATCAGGTCATTTGAAAGAATTTTTATTGTTATGAAACATACAAGTAGGGAACAGAATGAAGTTGGAGCCATCTGTGGGCCAGCATTTTCATTTGATCAACTGACTTTATTTCATTGATATCATAATGCTGTACGAATGTGTTCCATACTCGAGTCATCCTGGGGATAAATGATCTTAGATGAAGTGATGTTCTGGAGAAGGTTACAGCCAGAGTGAAGTTGCTGCTTTCTGCCCGTCTTGTGGTATAGAAGCTTGCTCTCTCTCCCTCTCTCTTCTCTCCCTCTCTCTCTCTCTCTCTCCTCATTGTTTGAACTTTCAAACAATGTCGTCTCCATGGTGGTTCAACGACCACAAAGGTTGTTTGCATGGAAAATATACAGAAATGTTTATAAACGATTATTACGTTTTAAATATGCAGTAATGTAATTACTTATTTATTACCCCGATCGTAAGGGCGAATGTTCGTACTCTGCTATTTGTACCTACGGCGGTCAAGTACTAGGAGGGAGGTGTACTAGGAGTACTAGGATGGGAAGTGGGGGGTTTGACCTTGAACGAACAAGACACTACACTAGGCAAGAGAAGAAACAAATAATAGCCCCTCTCTCTCTCTCTGTCTTTCTTTCTTTCTCTCTCTCTCTCACTGATAAACAGTGTTTCTTAATGTGTGTAAGGAATAAGTTTTCTGGCCAGACATGATTGTTTCTCACACTGTTCTCATAAATCATCGCTATCTCTCATCTTCCTCGCATCGCGACCGCTTTCATTGGTATTCCCATTTCCTCATTGTCCCTTCCTCTGCATTATCTCTTATTATCTAGTGTGTATGACAGAGAGAGAGAGAGAGAGAGAGAGAGAGAATGTTCGCACTGAGACATTAACTACACGCACATACACTCCTCATAAGACTGGCCGAGACGAAATGGAGGTTAATCAGGTTTGATACGAGGAAATGAAGGGAAGCTACAAACCCTTGGATCAAGAGCCCTTCACACCTGCCTCAGGGCACCATTCTTTAAAGGCAGAAATGTCATAAATACATAAAAATTTACAACGTGTTTTCAGGGCATGCAATTATTGACTTTACATCACAAGGTCAGAGAGGTGAGGTTTACCTCTCGCTGTGGCTCTCTCTCTCACAATTTACTCAGAGGAGAAATTTAAAAAAGAAATTTAGATTTTCCTAGGTATTGTTTCTCTCTCTGTCTCTCCATCTACCCTTGGCAGCTTTTCCGTTCCTACTGAATTCAGAAAATATATTTTGTCTTTCTCTGCCTTTCTGTGCTTTTTTGAAATCTCTCTCTCTCTTTTTTTTACACAGGGTTTGACAAGGTTAAGGATCCCTAGCTTTATTAACAAGCTATTTACAGGTTAAGGATTGCTAACTTTATTGGCAAGCTAAGAGCTGTTACCTACATCATTTGAAAGCATTTTTATTGTTATGAGACATACAAGTAGGGAACAGGATGAAGTTGGAGGCATCTGTGGGCCAGCATTTTCATTTGATCAACTGACTTTATCTCGTTGACATCATTATCCTGTACGAATGTGTTCCATACTCGAGTCATCCTGGGTCTGTATGATCTCAGATGGAGTGATGTTCTGGAGAAGGGTACAGCCAGAGTGAAGTTGCTGCTTTCTGCCCGTCTTGTGGCATAAAAGCTTGTTTCACGCTGTCCTCGAAGTGGATCCAAGTGTGGTACTTTGACAGTATTGGCCTTGTACATAACAGTAAGGCCAACGACATCCCTCCTCTCTCTCTTTTCTACACAGGATTTGACAAGGTTAGGTTAAGGATCCCTAGCTTTATTGACAGGCTATTAACAGGTTAAGGAATCCTAACTTTATTGACAAGCTAAGAGCTCTCTCTCTCTCTCTCTCTCTCTCTCTCTCTCTCTCTCTCTCTCTCTCTCTCTCTCTCTCTCTCTCTCTCTCTCTCTCTCTCTCTCTCTCTCTCTCTCTCTCTCTTTCTCTCTCTTAAAAATCAATTTCACCTTCAAGATCACTTAAACCGAGCCGTCATTTACAAACAATAAATCACGCCAATTTTCATATATTGATCACTTACTGCCGAGGCTCTGCCTGATGATGCTCCCTCCTGCCTGCAGGTGTTGCTCCTGAAGATGAGAAGACGCCGAAGGAAGAGTGGTGGGGGGAGACACCAGCCCTGCAGCCTCAGTTCGAGAACACCCCTTCCAATATTACTGCCAAAGTGGGCGAATCTGCCTTGCTGCCCTGCACAGTCTCTAATCTGGGAGATAAATCGGTAAGTTCTCTCTCGAACTTAAATAGTAAATATGAGGCACCCACACCACCGTATGTTCTCGGACCAAGAGTAACACACCTAGCTTGGCTGGGTGCTTGGTTCTTGTAGGATTGTGTTTTTCAGTAGGTTAAGGCGTCATGTGATTTTCGCTCACCACGAGGCAGGGCCAAAACTACATACACACACACACACACATACACACACACACACACACACACACACACACACACACACACACACACACACACACACACACACACACACACACACACACACACACACACACACACACACACGCGCACACACACACACACACATATATATATATTATATATATATATATATATATATATATATATATATATATATATATATATATATATATATATATATTTATATATATATATTAGGAGTGAAGAAGAGCAGAATGTAAGTGTGGTGGAGGTACGCGAGGTATTACTTAGAATGAAAGGGGGTAAAGCAGCTGGAACTGATGGGATCATGACAGAAATGTTAAAAGCAGGGGGGGATATAGTGTTGGAGTGGTTGGTACTTTTGTTTAATAAATGTATGAAAGAGGGGAAGGTACCTAGGGATTGGCGGAGAGCATGTATAGTCCCTTTATATAAAGGGAAAGGGGACAAAAGAGATTGTAAAAATTATAGAGGAATAAGTTTATTGAGTATACCAGGAAAAGTGTACGGTAGGGTTATAATTGAAAGAATTAGAGGCAAGACAGAATGTAGGATTGCGGATGAGCAAGGAGGTTTCAGAGTGGGTAGGGGATGTGTAGATCAAGTGTTTACATTGAAGCATATATGTGAACAGTATTTAGATAAAGGTAGGGAAGTTTTTATTGCATTTATGGATTTAGAAAAGGCATATGATAGAGTGGATAGGGGAGCAATGTGGCAGATGTTGAAAGTATATGAAATAGGTGGTAAGTTACTAAATGCTGTAAAGAGTTTTTATGAGGATAGTGAGGCTCAGGTTAGGGTGTGTAGAAGAGAGAGAGAATACTTCCCGATAAAAGTAGGTCTTAGACAGGGATGTGTATTGTCACCATGGTTGTTTAATATATTTATAGATGGGGTTGTAAAAGAAGTAAATGCTAGGGTGTTCGGGAGAGGGGTGGGATTAAATTATGGGGAATCAAACTCAAAATGGGAATTAACACAGTTACTTTTTGCTGATGATACTGTGCTTATGGGAGATTCTAAAGAAAAATTGCAAAGGTTAGTGGATGAGTTTGGGAATGTGTGTAAAGGTAGAAAGTTGAAAGTGAACATAGAAAAGAGTAAGGTGATGAGGGTATCAAATGATTTAGATAAAGAAAAATTGGATATCAAATTGGGGAGGAGGAGTATGGAAGAAGTGAATGTTTTCAGATACTTGGGAGTTGACGTGTCGGCGGATGGATTTATGAAGGATGAGGTTAATCATAGAATTGATGAGGGAAAAAAGGTGAGTGGTGCATTGAGGTATATGTGGAGTCAAAAAACGTTATCTATGGAGGCAAAGAAGGGAATGTATGAAGGCATAGTAGTACCAACACTCTTATATGGGTGTGAAGCTTGGGTGGTAAATGCAGCAGCGAGGAGACGGTCGGAGGCAGTGGAGATGTCCTGTTTAAGGGCAATGTGTGGTGTAAATATTATGCAGAAAATTCGGAGTGTGGAAGTTAGGAAAATGTGTGGAGTTAATAAAAGTATTAGTCAGAGGGCAGAAGAGGGGTTGTTGAGGTGGTTTGGTCATTTAGAGAGAATGGATCAAAGTAGAATGACATGGAAAGCCTATAAATCTATAGGGGAAGGAAGGCGAGGTAGGGGTCGTCCTCGAAAGGGTTGGAGAGAGGGGGTAAAGGAGGTTTTGTGGGCAAGGGGCTTGGACTTCCAGCAAGCGTGCGTGAGCGTGTTAGATAGGAGTGAATGGTACTTGGGACCTGACGATTTGTTGGAGTGTAAGCAGGGTAATATTTAGTGAAGGGATTCAGGGAAACCAGTTATTTTCATATAGTCGGACTTGAGTCCTGGAAATGGGAAGTACAATGCCTGCACTTTAAAGGAGGGGTTTGGGATATTGGCAGTTTGGAGGGATATGTTGTGTATCTTTATACGTATATGTTTCTAAACTGTTGTATTCTGAGCACCTCTGCAAAAACAGTGATTATGTGTGAGTGTGGTGAAAGTGTTGAATGATGATGAAAGCATTTTCTTTTGTGGATTTTCTTTCTTTTTTGGGTCACCCTGCCTCGGTGGGAGACGGCCGACTTGTTGAATATATATATATATATATATATATATATATATATATATATATATATAAATATATATATATATATATATATATATAATATATATATATATATATATATATATATATTCTTTCTTTCAACGCACCGGCCGTATCCCACCAAAGCAGGGTGGCCCAAAAAGAAAAACGAAAGTTTCTCTTAAATTTAGTAATTTATACGGGAGAAGGGGTTACTAGCCTCTTGCTCCCGGCATTTTAGTCGCCTCTTACAACACGCATGGCTTACGGAGGAAGAATTCTGTTCCACTTTCCCATGGAGATAAGAGGAAATAAACAAGAACAAGAACTAGAAAGAAAATAGAAGAATACCTAGAGGGGAGTGTATATATATGCTTGTACATGTATGTGTAGTGTGACCTAAGTGTAAGTAGAAATAGCAAGACGTACTTGAAATCTTGCATGTTTATGAGACAGACAAAAGACACCAGCAATCCTACCATCATGTAAAACAATTACAGGCTTTCGTTTTACACTCACTTGACAGGACGGTAGTACCTCCCTGGGTGGTTGCTGTCTACCAACCCACTACCTAGGTATATATATATATAATATATATATATATATATATATATATATATATATATATATATATATATATATATATATATATACATATATATATATATATATATATATATATATATATATATATATATATATATATATATATATATATATATATAATATATATATATATATATATATATATTGCAAATTTGAAATTTTATATAAAGAAAAAGAAAATCAACACGATAGCTTTGACACTGGTGAGAGCCGATCAGATATGCTACTGAGCACACATCTGACGTAATAAAGAGAAACTGTACGATGCAAAGTGAGAGAGAAAAGATTCGAAAAGTTGTTTGATCCTGATTCTTTAACATGTTACCCGAACAACATTCCTGAAGCCAAGCCAGAGCCAATATTTGCTCGTATTTATCCCGTCTTCGTTCAACCATCTGCCACTTTTACAAAGTGAAACTTGAAAAACTCGGAAATTCTTTTGAAGTATATTGGGGAAAAACTTGTGTTTGTGATATGGAATTTTATTATATTGCTATTGTTGTTTTTCTTAATATAAAAAAATAATAATAATAATAATAATATTATTATTATTATTATTATTTTTATTATTATTATTGTTATTTATTATTATTATTATTAATATTATTATTATTATTATTATTATATTATTATTATTATTATTATTATTATTATTATTATTATTATTATAGAATTATTTTATGTTGAGAGTGATTTATGTTAAATTCACGGGAAAGCGTTAAATCAGCACGGGTCCCACGACCTCACAGGAATGAGACGCAAGAAGAGGAAGCAATCTGATTTGTACCGGGTAAGGGGATCAAGTTCGACTCCCTTCCCTTTCCCCCTCCCTTCCCCCTCCCTTCCCCTCTCCCTTTCCCCCTCCCTACTCCTCTCCCTTCCCCCTCCCCCTTTAAATGGCGCTGATATGAAGCATCACCAATTATTAGGGTGCACCAGGGAGACGGATTTCTAAAATGGTTTCCTGGTTTAAGATCAAAAATTCCTGAGAGAAATTTAAATGGCTTGCACTAGTGTTTTAGAAGTGTGGAATAGTGGTGGCACTGTGCTGATTTAGTGGTGGCACTGTGTTGATTTAGTGGTGGCACTGCGTTGATTTAGTGACGTCACTATGTTGATTTACTGGAGGCACTGTGCTGATTTAGTGATGGCACTGTGTTGATTTAGTGGTGGCACTGCGTTGATTTAGTGACGTCACTATGTTGATTTACTGGAGGCACTGTGCTGATTTAGTGATGGCACTGTGTTGATTTAGTGGTGGCACTACGTTGATTTAACGTTGTCTTGGTGTTAGTTTTTAAGACTGAGATTGGAAGACTTCAGCTGTTATTGTAATTCTGGAAATCGATGAGCACAAATTTAAACCAATTTCTAATAGCTGATATTTGTTTCCGTCCACAATGAGCAAGGTTGTTAGCAAAGTAACTTGAAGAAGATACATTAGTGGGAATGTATCAGAAGAGACGAACACTGAAGGACACAGGTTACACAAAAAAATTGTTACTGAAGAAATGAAACACTTGTGTCTGATTCTTGAACTTTTCGGTTCTCTAAAGCGTTTACATCTGTGCTTGTTAAAGCTGTAAAGCTGTAAACAAGAGCGAAACGTCGTACCATTAAAAGCTTTCTCTTCAACCTATGTCTTTTCTTCTCTGGTTTCTGCAGTAGGACGCTTAAATTCAGGACTGCAACAAATGTTTTCGTATCGTGTTTGGTTTCTAGACCAGCTGCTGGGTCGTTTTCGAGAATTTTTCGGTGGGCTTCACTAAAACGTTTTTCAAAGTTGCCAATTGTTGCGCAAACTATTGATTTTCTCTTAGCAATATATATATATATATATATATATATATATATATATATATATATATATATATATATATATATATATATATATATATATATATATATATATATATGTATCCAGCATAACTAGTGTTAGAATGAATTTTTATAGGAAGACAAGAAAGAAATTAAATAGAATGTATATTAGTTCCGTGTATTTCGGAAATATTTTATGCAACATTCGACTTCATGTTGACGCAGGTGATTGCAATCCTCTCTTGCCGTAATGTCCCGCCCGTTACTCTAGAAATTCTGGTCACTAAGCTTGTCACACTTAGTAA